CAACTCTGTGACCTTGTCTTTTTTCTCTCTATACCCATTCCAGCCAGATGCCACCTCACCTTGCCTTAATTCGCAAGAAATAAAAGACCGTCACGACACCATGAACCCCTACGCCCTTTTGTATCTCGCCCTTTTGTATTTGAGGTTTGGCAAAAGTTCCGCCCTTCCTTCTCCCCGTCGCGAAGCTGCCCTTACTACTGCTAGTAGGCGTACATCAGTTTTACGGATAGCAATTATGATAATGACGACGATGATGATAACGCACCTTCGCCTATGACTCACCAAGTCCGAAAGGCGGGCAGGCTATGATCCATGGTGATTAGGAAAACACGAAAGCTAATGCACAGCAATCCTCACGACGTTTAGTTCCTCCCCCTTCCCCCTTCCCCCCCGATCCGAAATCCGTATCCGCCATGCCGCCATGCAATGTCCCATCAACCCATGCCACAATTGGCGCTAAACACCCAAGACATCAGCGGAGTCGCGGAGTCGCGGAGTCGTTGATTACCTAGTGGCTTTATGGTTCAAGAACCGAGGCCAAAGAAACCAGGTAGCGAGAAACTCGCGAGAAATAGGCCACAGCTTCGCTTCTTCCTCCTTGTTTCAACCTCATTCGTACCCCCGGAAGCAAGTCAAGTATTGCTGTAATCATTGTACTAAGCCTGCTCGTCAGCATATCAACCTGCATCCTCGCATGTTAGGTATAGAGGGAGGCTAAGGGAAAAGGGACCTCTCAATATCCACTGGTAGCACAGACTTGCTCCAAAAAAACCATCACCGCCTCATTAACCTCGCCCACGCCTCTAATCCGCATAAACGCTTCAATACCCATTCGCCCAAATCCTTTCCCTTGCAGCATGGTCCCGATGACCATCATCCTCTTCCTTGACTTGGACTCGAACACTATTTCTCCTATACACTAATGTCTGCCTACGTTTCAACTCTCTTGACTACGCCGTACACGTACCCAAGCAAGCCCTGCGCGCGAATCCTGAAATGCTACCTGGGCGCGTTTAAAGCGTGATGCCCACCTAACGCGCGCAAACGGAGATACATATTCCCAGGCGCTTCGGCGGTGGGCCAGGCAGGCAGGTCATCGGCATTGACAAATGGCAAATGGCAACGTATTTACTGTCATTTTACTGCGTTGCCAGTTGAAGGGAGAGTATCTGTATGCATAGCCTTAATGTGACGTCAAATCAGATAATGCCGGACTCAACGCCGAGCTTTCTAGTCTCACAGTCTCGTCTCATCTCATCTCATCCCATCCAAGGTAGGCAAACTGACGACGAAAAAAAATGTAAACCAATATTATTGTAATACTCCCATGAGCTGACGGGTTACACAAAAAGTAGAGACATGAGAAGAGAAAAGAAAAAGGCCCGAGGTGGTCCACGGTAGAAAAGGACCATGCACTAATCACCCCCGAGTCATCCCATGCCCGCTACCTCACGTAGTTCTATGTAATGCGCGCGTGTGTGTATGTACCTCGAGGTATACTATGTACGTTCGTTCCACCGTCAGCAACTATGTACGGTAATCTGTCGATTCTAAGCCACCACCGCCCGTCTCCCCGCACCCTGCAGCTTCCAATACAATGCCCCCCCCCTCCCCATTCCATCCATCCCACATCATCGTGTGTCTCTTTGCAATTAAACAAGCACCGAGAACGCCCTACCCCATCAATGATCACCATCACCATCACCATCATCATCATCACCCATTCCCACAAGGCTGTCTCGGTGATACGGTGTCACTATAGACAAGCAGAAGCGCGCGTTTCACCGCATCCTTCTTCTTTGCCGTCCTCCACATCGACTGCCACCACAACCACATCCACGCCCGCTCTCTGCTCACCTTACCTTACCTTACCCTAAGCTACCGTTCGATTCGGCAGGGTGTACAAGATAAAGCTCGCCACGGCACAGTAGTGTAGCTTCCTTCCGCGCAGGCAAAAAGCTTCCTTCCTTTATCCCCTAAGCGAGACCTCCGTGGTGTATCCGTACGGTAAAGGTAGGTAGATGGTCTCATCTGATGTGCGTGCTTAGCTTCCCGCTCCCCCGTCAGCTGTGCGATGTATGTATGTAGATGCATTTCGAATTCAGGGTATCTTTGTCTTTCTTGTCTCGTTGTCTGCCTTCTCCTCTTGGCGAATTACTCTGTAATGTCTTCCTGTTTCCTTGGGCCGAAATCGTTGCAGTCGTGTAATAGTGTAGTTTGTCGTAATGGTCATCGTCGTCCATCTCCTCTCCTCTCCTCTCCTCTCCAACCCCCCTTCCAAACAAAAACAGTAAGCCGTCGTCCGCATCCATCCAGTTCGACAATACCTCCCCATCCCATCCGATCAGCCCAGTAAGGCCCCGTGCCGCAATGCGAGGAGACCGAGATGCCCGCCCCATATTAAACCTTTACAATCACCTCTCATGGTCCCGAATATGCCTTGCGCCACACCTGCAAGCTACCCCAATCGTCGTATCAATCCATCCTCTCGTCCCCATTCCCACCCCAGTCCCAAGACAGTTGAGCCATAACAAGACTGGAAAAATAGGCACAGCCCCACCGCCATGCAGACAACATAAGGAAAAGCGTCTCGCGACGTACATCCGTCTATCGATCACCACACACCTTGAGGTAACACCAAGACCACTAAGACCGCTAGGCCCAACCACCCTTGCATCCTCCGGCCATGTGCTCCCTGCTTTTCGTGTCCCTGCTTGCCCATTCAGAAGAGCGAATGGGTAGCCAAGTAGGCAAAGGTTCCCAGGGCCCATTATCGTCAGATGTGCAGTGGTCAAAGCCACACAGCCTGCATAGACTTCTTCTCGAAGCCTTCCCACATGGGCAAAGCCTGTCGTTGAAAAAACAACCTCTTCCGCGAACCTCTTACCCTGCTGCTCCACATGACCGCCTGGGACCATGCAGTCCATGCCCAATCGTATCTAGACTCAGTAGGTAACATCATGGCCTGTTGAGCTAAGGACGGACTGACTTTGCTGCGACTGTTGCTGGCCACCAATTCCGAAAGAGAAAGTGAGCTGCAACAAGGCCGAGTCGTGCCGACGTGATTGGTTGTGCAACCCGACTCTATGGTATGGTTGCCAACGTCATAAGCTTGTGTTGCCTCAGCCGCACTCTTGTCAGTGGGCCACACCAAAGAAAGAGAGACGTTTTGCCGGGTCGCTAAAAGCCAGCATGTCGTGTCGGGCGACGGCCCTGGCTCCTGTACTCCGGAACCTGGGCTTCGTTTCGCTGTCAACTTTTACCGCCTTCTTCCTGTGGGGAAAGCAACCGGGGCGTCGTTTTCCAAGCTCTTGCAGGTGCGTCTTCACCTCTAGGCATCAGCTTTGACCGTGCCTGTGGCCCAATGGTGATCCGCCTTCGACGATGGGGCAGTGCCAACGATGACCCTCAATGCCAACCTCGCGCACGCTTGCGTTTGTCTTCACACGGATTCTTGCACTTGGGGCAAACGTGGTCCGGATACGAATTGACATCAACCCTTATCAAGCACTTTGAGCACCGCCACCATCGCGACGAGAGATTGCGTCCCTGGAGCCAGCTGTCGTCCACGTGGGTGCCCCGCTTGAAAATATCTTCGTTGTGATAGTCTCGCAGGTGATCTCTGAAGTGGTCCCGTCGTCCGAATGGTTCGCTTCTTCGCGAGCACTTTGGATAGTCGCACTTGTGAGCTTCCTTCTTTGAGGGGTCTTGGTGGACTTGTCTATAGTGTCTCTCGAGGTCGGCCTTGCGCTTGAACGGGTTTGCTGTGCATCCCGCCTCGAGGCAGGGGAATTTGTAGTCCACGACTTCTTGCTGCTCTTGGCCACTGCGCACAGCATTGTTAGCACCGCTTGACCATCTCTGTCAGAGGCCTCCGCATTGACTAACCCTTGATGGGGTATCACTGTTGGATACTGCCCTGCAGGAACATATCGTGGTTTCATCTGCCAGTAGCCTCCGTCTTCGGTGGGAACGTAGTCGTACTGCGACCAGTCTACGTTTCCATAGTAAGGTTCAGACGCTTGTTGTGCCGATGAAGACGCAGCACTCGCATACTCGTCTGCATAGTATCCTCCATAGCTCTCGTCGTAGCCATCGCCATAGTCGCCCGTAGGAGAGTGGCTCATGTTATGCGTGTATGAGTATGACATACCAGGCGAAGAGCCGTATGAAGATGGTGTAAGAGGACCTCGGGAGCTGATATCGGAGGGCTGGCGAGCAAGTTCCGGAGCCTCTAGGAAAGTAGGGGAGTCAAGGTAGTCTCCTGCCGATACTGGAGACGTTGCGTTAACATGATAGCCTGCTCCGCGGTAATAGTGGCTGTCCATTGTTTCTGACTTAAACAAGTGGAACTGTCGTGCTGTCTAAACCGTTTATATCCCGGCTTCTGGATAGCAGTTCAGTAAAGGGAGGGTGACCTGGCAAGGTTGGGGGAAGCATACAACATTTAAAGGAGAGTAAGCAGTAGCGAGGAATGCCGGGAGCCAAGGAAAATATACCAACTTACATAAATGGGATGCCAGTGTCAGACTCGTGGGGGGGGGGGGGTGGTAGGCAGGCTGGTTTCGGAGAGTCAAAAACGTGGCTCACACATAAATACCCATGGAAGTAAGGTAGCTTAGATTGTGAATAAGTAGAGTACAGGCAAAAATCCTCGTCGCCGTGGGGTTTATAGTCCAGAAAGGAGTGGAAGCCTGTTCATGAACAGGGTAAGTGTTAGGCAAAGTGCAGTACCGAACAACACTAGAGTCCGAGCAGATAAAGGATTTGTTGAAGTGATTCCCAAATGACAAGCTCACGAATTGGAGGGGGAAGTGGGTGGTTCAAGTATGAGCGGGACAAGGCAAATTCAAGTTTCACCGCCTTGGAGCTGGAAGGAATAAAGGTGGCAGCGAGACGTCAAGCGGCACAGATACACGAGCAGGCGGTAGAATGGGGTCATGGCAGCCCACCAGCACAAGGCTTCGACCTCCGTAAGACGGCCTTGGCCATGGGGAGCCTCAAATGAGCGGGCATGTCGAACGTCGTAAAGCTCCATCAGCCCCCGGGCCATTTCCGCGTAGGGTGAAGATGGGATAGAGTTGTCTTGGCCATACGGCGCGAAGCGAGGAAACAACTGCAAGTGCTGGGTTTCTCCACCAACTTGAACGTTTGATCAAGTGAGAGGCGGTCCTCGGTGAGTGACATGCTTCTAGAAGGGGGCTTAGAATCGCCAGCCACCAAGTCGATGGATTCATGCGGGAAGACATGCATAACTGGCAACCTGGTCTGAGAACAAACCGGCGAGATTCGAGATCAGGTCAGCCCAAGACCCGCCAGATACTCCCATGACGATGCACCCACCTATCACTCGACAGGGCTGGCGGCGGGGTGGTTAAAGAGCGCGGTACGGATACATTCGAGGGGGCCTCAACCGCCGTTGACATTGAATCGAAAGGGGGGACCAGTTCCGGCTGGGCAGTCAGCTCTGAGTTACCATGAGTGTTTTTGGGCAGACTTCATTGGTAAAAGGTACTGGCGACCCAAGACATGTCTGGCAGACCCAAAAGATAAACCGGGGCAGAGAAAGGCCCCATTATGGAAATGTTTCTGGTGGTCGGTTTGTACGGCACGGCAGGGTCAAGGTCAGTCAACCCAGAGTTGGGGACTCGAGGTACCGCGTCTAGTGCAGGACCGGACAAGGGGCTCGAAGATAAGCCAGTGAGCTATGAAACCGACAGTTGTGAGATATGTCATGGATGGCGAGAGATTGTCGCTCAGTGGCATAGCAAACTGGACGGTAGCAATTAGGGCGTTGTAGGGCTCGGGCTCGGGGCGGACTTGGCAGGATGCGATGCGGCTGTCTAGATGGACTGAAGATCGGAATCGCGGAGGAGAGGCTTGACTGGTAGAATATCTCGTTGCCTGGCCCCGCACTGCCACACTAGTGTGCGCGTGAACGCTTGCAGTCCCAGCCCTTGCTGCTGTGCAGGGTCCGAATGCTAGAGTGGAATCAGCCAAGAAACAATGGTACCGCAAATCATGAAGCCCTCACTGGTCCAATCGTAACCAGGTAGGTGAGGCCATAGTAAGCCTAGGGGGCGGTTTGGAATCCAATGGAGTCTCTCACTCTCTGGCGGAGGACCCCTCTGCCCAGCGAAGCGATTCCCTTCTGGGGCAGACATTGAATACGGAGTACCGTTGTACCTCGGTTGCTTTCCTGGGAGTGAGTTGTTGTCATGGCTCGTTGATGGATTGTGTGGTGCTGCGCAGCACAGTTGCAGTGCAACCACTGTCACATCGAGGTATTCCATCGGGGGCCAATCCGCTGGATCCGCCGCAAAGCTGCATGTTGCCTACCGGAATAGCCTGAGACCCAGAAGGACTGATGAGTGATGGCCAACCAAGTGAACCGGTTCCGGGGCGATTCCAGGTCCGATTTCCTGTCTCCTCGGCCACGTTGCCCCCTCTGAGCGTCCGCCGACCCTGAACGGGGAACAGTGATACAGGCGGTGACGGCCATAATGAGTATGTAGTCTGTAAGATGGTGAAACTTCACCCTTTTCGCGCAAACGACACCTTGCAATGGTCAGGTGTCTTTGGCAAGATAGGTAGGTGCCCTACTTCTGGCGTGGGGACGGAAGAATCGGGAGATAGCGGCGGGCGTGCTTCATGTCCGGCTGACGGTCGATGCAGGTTTGGTTCGGTGAGCAAGTCAGAGAGGATACGGCGATACGAAAAGGTGCCTTTTTTTTGTCATGCTGGTGTAAATCAGAGTCTGTTGGATCTTCAAAGAGGCGCATATCGAGTAGTAGCAGGACCCATTCTGATGGGCCTTTTGCTCGGACGAGCCATTTTCTGGCGTGAGAAAACACGGAGGCCAGGTATGCGATACTGTTGGAAGAAGGTTGAGAGACCTCGAGATGTGGATTCGGTCCAACGTGTTGGAGTCACTTGGAGAGGTGTTCGAGCCTCGTGGATGGTCAGAACAGACTTTGATGACTCCAGGAAAAGGTAGTCATCTGAATAAACCGCTCTGCCAACGGGCTTTTGCTGGGTCCTACCCATGACGCTCGACTGGGTTCACGGTTGCTAGTTGGGAAGGAGGCAAGTTGGCAGGTCCGCGACGCGCCCGGGGATGGAAAGGTGGGCCTCGACAACCTTCTAGAAGTCTTCCATCGCTTGTGCAAGACCCTGTCAACTTTGTCGGAAGGTGGTGATGCATCATGGCCCTCCATTGGGCCTGCCGCTTGCCCCACTAACCTTAAGGTACTTTCTTCTCATGTTCCACCCTCTCGACCTTAGGTACCGGTAGAAGTCTCGTCACGTTGTGACGCTCTAGATTTGCAGTACCATGTCAATATGCTCCTTTGCACCTGGCGAATCGTCACCACCTTAGCCAGCAGGTAGGTAAGCACGCAGATGAGAGACTGCCGCTTTGCCGCCGTCGACTTCCTTACTTTGCTCTTGCTTTCCTGCACGTATATGCCGCTTCAACAGTACTGGCTACCCTTACTGGCCTTGGCCCGTCCAGTCATTTCGCTTCATATCGACGTGCCTCATACCTCCTGGCCATGTTCGCCCGGCTTGTGATAACACAAGTGGCGGAGTGATTTATTGCAGAATGCCAATGGTTTGCGCTGGCTGGAAAGCTTGATTGCAACCCTCCACAGTTCCATGCTTCGTCATTGTCGCCTCAGCCCTGGCATTGGTTCTGACCATTCGGAACGCCCACCGGCACATCCATAACCCAATTCGTCCTGGGTGGCTACGTACGTCTAAGACTTGGAGAATCGTGGGGGATAAGGTATTCGTCAACCCACCCGCTGGCGGCTATGTTTTGTGTCACGCAGAAACGGATCCACACGGGGCAACTGTCGGGGTGGCCGGAGCTTCCATGGAGCCTGGAGGTCCTCTTCTCAACTTATTTCGGCCGAGCCTGGATCCGGGCGCCGGGGTGCAAGCCGTCATCGACTCCCCCCAGCTCTTAGAGCGTCCAGTGAGGTGGTTGTATGGAGTACTGGAACAGGCCATCTCCGATAGGGCCAGAACACACTGCACCGACCGGGATCTTATTTTGCCTTTATGCTGACCGCCGAGGACAGGGTCCCTGATATCATGGCAGGGCAAACGGCCTTGGCGGTGCCGAAAGTGCTCAATCAAAGGTCACGCGCATTGCGAATAGGTTGTCTTGTCTTCATGTGCAAAAGCCGAATTGGAGCGGCCTGTAGCCTCCCCCTTTCATAGCCAGTCAATAGTCAGTGTACTTCAACAAAGGTGAGCCAGATAGACCTTGGCTGTATGTTTCCGCAAAAAGAGGCAACGCCGTTCCTCCCGATACCAATGGTTTGAGGCCCCCATCCCAATTCGAGGCTACGCCTGGCATGAAACCCCGTAAACCTTGCTGCCTATTCATACATCGTCCTCGAGGAATTTGTACGCGAACTTGAAGTCCGCCTTTCTTCGGTTCATCCTGCCCTTTGAGTTAGCTTAATTACCTCAGTTTAACGTCTTCAAGAAAATAACTCACCATGTGCTTTCGTAGTCGAAGAAGCGGTATGTGCCCTGCTCGAATTCCTCGGTGATGTTCTTTGGCTCTTCGTGGCGCTGGAACCAGGTTTGATATTGCTTGTGGAACCGCCAGCTCTGGTCCTTCAACGCCTTGGCGGCAAGGTATTGCTGGGGCGTGCCTTGCTTGTAGTAGAACACGTAGAAGAGCGTGTCAGGGTCGATCCGTGAATATAGCCGCGGGTCATCAAACAAAGGGAGTGGCTCTTGAGGAAAGCCAACGCCGGTTGATGTCAATCGCAAGTCGGGACGGTACGTTCTGGGTACATCTGCATCCATGATGTCGGGACACGTAGCCTGGCTGGTCTGGAGCATGCGTTGCGTGGATGGCGAGTTGAGAGGCGCTGGGCGCTTGCGGGAAGCTTCAAAAGACTCGACGAGGTCTTGCAAAGATGACGGAAGGTGATATATGGACTCTTCCTCTCCCTCTGCTGTAGCCTGGATCCCATTTGTGGCACCGTTTGTTTGAGATGCTAAAGAACATTAGTAAACTATGAAAATGGTCACGGTGTTGGGCGGACTTGCCTTTGGCTGCTCCCGAAGCACTTGCCGCAGCCTGCTCCTTTTTCGCACGCTTCTCTGCCTTGGTAGGGGCCGAGACGGCCTTTGTGTTCGTGTTTGTGCTTGTGCTTGCGCTTGCGTTTGCGCTGGCGCTCGCATTTGCGATCGGTGGTTCGCTTGGGGTTGTTGATGGTGGTGGTGGCTGCTTGGGTTCGGGCTCCTTTGCTGCAACAGGGTGCGCTGATGTCGTTGCGGGTGAGCTTGTAGCGCTGGTTTTCGATTGCGAGCCCGGCGTACTAGCAGGGACGGGTGCTGCGCCTGGCGGAGGGGGCAAGGGAGAGATGCCGATCTTGTCTGACGCTGCCGCTGCCGCCGCCGCAGACGCGTATTTGAGGCCTTCAGCAGGTCTTGCGGGGGCTACCGCTGGCTTCATCGTAGGACCGGTTGCTGCGCCATTGCCAATGATTGTCGGCATATGCAAGGTAGCTAACGCAGGCAGTGGGGACTTGTTCTGTGAGCTCGACCTGCGCCCTGAAGCAGATGCTTCTGCTACCGCCTTTGGCTTTGGGGGAGCCTTGATGATTTCTGGTTCGGGTGTCGGTTCCTCCGCTATTGACTGAGCGTCTTGCGATGAGCCCTTGTCGCCATCTTGAGCTAGGCCAAATGCGCCCTCGTCCTCGTCCAGAGCGAGCTCCTCGTACATCTCCTCGTCCTCGACAAAGTCATCGTTCATGCCATCCGAGACGTAATATCGAATCGTCTCTTCGAGTTCAGTAACCTGATCCGTGTCGACTCCGCCGTTCTCTAGAGATCTCCGAATAAGCTCTAATTTGCCCTGATGCCACTTATGACGTTCGATGATGCGCTCGATCTCGGCCATTCGTTCCGCCTTGGCAGTTTGGCTCTTGCCCTTCTTCATCGTCGCTTGTATCGATTCGGCCTCGGCTTCTAGGGTTTCGATTTGTTGCTCGAGCTCGTCGACCATGCTATTTAGGAAGTCGCTTGCCTCGGCTTTTGCTTGTTCTTGGGGATCGAGCTTGGCTGAAGAGGCTAACCCTTCCTTGGAGTATGCCTTGGTCTTCATAGCCTTCTCTACGGCCTTGAACTTTTCCATTTGCTGCAGAGGGGATTAGCGGGACCGCGGGGAAGAGCTACGACCGGGGAGTTGGTAGACCAACCGTCTCGATCAACCTTCGATGCTCCAGCAAAGGAGACTTGTCCTTGATGTCGTTGCTTGCTGCCCATGTCTTGATCTGATCGCGGAGTCTCTGGAGCTTCTTGATTTCGCGCTTGAGGTTGTCCTCGAGCTTCTCTTTTTGGGAGATGTTGTTGGATTGCTCAATCTTTTCGTAAATGGCCTCGAATTCGGCGACGCCTTCCGCCACCTTTTTGAAGCACTTGTCGACTTCTTGTTGGAGTTTGCGTGCCGCCATCTTGTAGGGTTGTGTGTGGCAGAGATGAAAATGCTAAGCCTAATTACGTGTCTCGATACCGACGGGTTGGGTTTGTCGGTTGTGTCAGGTGTGTCGTGATTGACGCTGGTTTTCAGTGAGCTGTGCTCGTGTCGCAGACGGCCGTCGAAGGGGTGATGGGCGCGTTATGGGTGGATGAATGGGGGGTTTGTCCCTCGCGTGACGACTGCTACGCCGTGTTGACCGGCGTTTGTTGGTTGCGCAATACAGGTTTGCTTGCCGGGAAGTGAGGCGTTTGATGGGTTAAGGATGCGCGCATGCAGAAGAAAGAGCTGGATGGAAGATGCTGTGTGGGAGGTGGAGGGTGGAGGTCGCCAGTACCTGAAGACCGATAGAGGGTGAAACATAGGAATGTTGCAAATGGGTACTTGAAAAGCTACAAAGGGGTCCTGAGGATACGAATAATCTCATAAGCACACCATTATTAATGTAACTCTTACAAATGATCATTTTTTACAATAAAATGGTCCATTCCGGTAGTGTAATAGCATGCAAGACCAGCCCCGGATTCTTTCTATCTATCAGACTGAAGTTCAGGCTACTTCGACTTCGTCACTAAATATGACACGGGCCACTATCAAGCCCAGCCTTGCCAGCTGTTTTCCGCCGTGTTCAGGGAGATAGATACCTTATTACCGGTAATTCAAATCAGGCAAGGCAATGTGCTAATGCTATTGGTTTTGCCCTCATTCGATGGCAGGAATTTTCTGCAATACTGAAGGGCTGCCAGACAGCAGCGCTTGTGACTTGCCAGGCCAAGTACCGATTTGCTGTTTGCTTCTTCTCCGTGTGGTTTGCCGCCCGTTTGCCTGTTTGTTCCCGACGTGCTCGGCTTGTAGCTTGCATTTTCCCGGGCGATACGGACTACTCAGCAGTCTCTAGCTGCTCCATTTGTGTTTTGACTTCATTCTCATCCGGGTAACAGTGTCGGAGGGATCCACGTTCCGGCCTATCAATCGTGTTTGAAGAACTTGTCACCGAAGCCAGCTTTTGCTACTCTTAGTGAGGTCTCTAAGTCTCAGGTAATTCCACTGCGTCGTCTCCAACATAGGCAGTGGTGCTGTGCAGTACAAAATGAAAGGTGAGACTGCTTTTCCTCAACTGAGCTTGTGCCTGGTGATGTGAGATAATGATCCCTCCTAGCTATCGTACAGCGGGTGCTGTCTGGGTCAGTGACGGTGGACAACGAAGTGATTTCTTCTATTGGAAAGGGACTTCTTGTTCTTGCTGCTGTGGCTCCCGAAGACACAGAGAAAGATGCCGAGAATCTAGCAAACAAGGTGTTGAAGCTTAGGATGTGGGACGACGATGCCGGCGCAAGGGTGCGTTTGGTCAGATCCTGACCACTACAAAACCTCCATCTAATCTTGTCTCAGTGGAAGAAATCAGTCCCGGACATTGACGGAGAAATTCTCTGCGGTATGTAGGCTGCCGTTCTGGGCTCCTGTGACGGGCCTTTTCATGACAACTCCTAACCCTTACAGTGTCTCAATTCACGCTTTTCGCAAAGATTGTCAAGAACAAGCCGGATTTCCGCCTCAGCGCAGGAGCCGAGGATGCCAAGAGGCTCTATCACCATTTCTTGCAAAAATTGCAGGATAGCTACGCCGCCGACAAGGTCAAGGATGGACGCTTCCAGGCCATGATGGCTGTGGCTTCCGTCAATGACGGACCGGTCTGTGCCCTTCGAACCCAACGACAACTGGTGATTCTGTCCTAATTCAAGTCCAAAGGTCACATTTGAGCTCAACACAGAGTCGGCACCTAAGTCCTGATCGCTCTCGAAGTCTTCCGGATGCCATTTGCCATGGCCCAAGGTACTAGTGCAGCGTCGCCTGACACAAGCCGGGGATTTACTCAAGCGGAACCTAGGTACGCCAGAACTGCTGCTTGGATCCTGTTCGTTCGAAGCGTCAAGAAGCGATGACAAACAGTAATGGACCTGGCAGGCGGTCCGCTGCGGTAAAAGATAGATTTATATGCATCATACTTCCTTGCCTTAGGCGTGGAACTTTGCACATAGATGCAACTGCGATGGGCTTGTCATTTTTCAGAATACCTCAGAACGCAGGCAGAGATATTGCAACTCAATTACATCAATGCTGCCTGCCTCAGCTGCATAATTTCTTTCTGCCTTATTTTCCCGTTTGCCTCACCTTGTCTCTTCAGCCTAGGTACCTAGATAACATACCTGCCTACCTTACCTATGTAGAGATGCATCACCTAAGGTACACAGCAGCGAAGGCAGGCACCTCATGGAAAAGCCGAGGACAGGGCAGGGAAGAGACATCGGTAAGAATAGCACCCTCTGATTGGCCCATTCTAAAGCTGTTGCTCCTTCCCGGTGAAGCATGCAGGTAGTGAGCAGCCGGTGGTGCGACTGCCCCGCGCACAAGCGTCCGAGCTACCAGAAAGTTCCATCGTACCTTCCCCCACCTTCCAGGTTAGCTCTGGGCTGAAGCATTTATCGTCCCCCTCCACCACCATCGTTCCGAGGATTAAGCTATACCTTGCCTCAGGTACCTTACTTCCTCGACTCAATTGTATGAACAACACTTCTCACGTTCAACGTGAATCAACGACAACTTCCTACCAGCTTCGGCCCAATCATCGATAACCTTTCACTCCGGCAATCTCGTTTGCGGCAACCACATCTACCCCGCACTACTGGATCGAGTACAGAATCCTAGCCTGATCAACCTCAACGAGTTCAACTTGCACTTCAGAACGTAGTCACAATGTCCGCTGAGGGAACCGAAAACAAGGCCGCGCGCTCGCGCGTGTTCTTTGATATTACAGTCGGTGGCAAGTCCGCTGGCCGTATTACCATGGAGCTCTACAACGACCTCGTCCCCAAGACGGCCGAGAACTTCCGCTGCCTCTGCACCGGCGAAAAGGGTCTGGGCAAATCTGGCAAGCCTTTGCACTACAAGGGCTCTATCTTCCACCGCGTCATCAAGCAATTCATGATTCAGGGAGGTGACTTCACGGAGGGCAATGGTACTGGCGGCGAGTCTATTTACGGCGCAAAGTTCGAGGATGAGGCTTTCCCTAAGAAGCACGACCGTCCCTTCCTCCTGTCCATGGCCAATGCTGGGCCTAGTAAGTACTCTTCTATGCCTTGATGAGGGAGGCTTCTTTCTGACAATGCTATGTACAGACACCAACGGCTCTCAATTCTTCCTCACCACCGTCCCGACGCCTCACCTCGACAACAAGCACGTCGTCTTTGGCGAGGTCCTCAACGGCAAGTCCGTCGTTCGCCAGATCGAGAACCTCCAGACCGAATCAGGCGACAAGCCCCTCAAGGACGCCGTCATTGCAGACTGCGGCGAATTGACCGGAGACGCCGCTCTCGCAGCCGATGTGAAGGCCCCGGACGCCATGGGCGACACCTACGAGGACTTCCCCGAGGACTGTGCAACCCCGCCTGATGCTCAGGAAGTCATCAAGATTGCTGCCGCCTGCAAGGATTACGGCAACAAGGCCTTCAAGGCTGGCGACTTCAACCTCGGTCTCGAGAAGTACCAAAAGGGCCTGCGCTACATCAACGAGGAGCCCGACTTGGAGAAGGAGCCCGCTACTACCAAGGCGGAACTCCAAGCTCTCCGCTTTACCCTCAACAACAACTCGGCCCTGCTCAACATCAAGCTCGAGGCCTGGGATGATGCCGCGAAGACGGCTACGTACGCCCTTGATGTTTCCGGAACCAAGGACGCTGACCGCGCCAAGGCCCTCTACCGCCGCGGCTTCGCCAACGTCCGCCTTAAGGACGAGGAGAACGCCATTAAGGATCTTGAAGAGGCGCACAAGCTCGTGCCGGATGATAAGGTCATTCTCCACGAGCTTAATGCCGTCAAGCAGAAGGCGGCCGCCCGTGCGGCCAAGGAGAAGGCGGCTTACAAGAAGTTCTTCCAATAGATGGAGACACTCAGCGAGGGCGCAGCACGTACCGTACCGGGGACTGGACGGGGAAACACGGCATAGAAGCAGTGCGACTGTGATGGTATGAGGCAGAGCGAAGACTGGTGGATGACGATTCTATGATCTGGGCGACTAAAAACAAGGGAATTCTCTTAATTAATTGGAACAATTCGGGGCGTAAAGAGAAGCAGGCACTGGAAAACACAAAGAAAATTCATGGGTAGATACCTCGACTGAAAGTTCAATATCATTATATTATACACATTGCTCGTTTCGTTTTATTCTAAAGGGAAATGAAATATGCTGTGAAGAGTCTCGTGGCGTGAGGCTGAGGCAAGACACGTAAATGCTAGTCATGATGTCTGGGTATATTCATTCGTGGCCCATGTTGCGACGGCTACCTACCCTCCAACCAGCTCAAGAAAAGTTGGCGAGGAAGAAGAGACGAACACGGGATGGGTTTGGGTGTAAGAAGAAAGCGAAAAACAAATAGGGCCGACCCTCCCTCCAACCGAATGCATCAACAAGTAGAAAGGAACCTTCCCAAGCAGGCTCCATTGATGAACATTGTGCAAATGGAGAAACGCCAGAGGTAAGTTCAGTCGATCCTTGCCCACCCAAGACTGCCCTCGATTCCGGCGCAGGTGATAGTAATGCAGAAGAGGCGCTGCCCTTCCGCACTCTCTTGACGCTCCAAGCTGGGCGTATCCAGACATCCTCCTCGTTAAGAATGCAGAGACTTTGGCTCGTCATTCGACCATTGAAGTTTTTTTGGTTTTGGTTCGTGTGCGTGTGTATCGAAATAGTAATGAACAAAGGGAAATGAGTGGTAAATAAGGAACATCAATAGCCAGTGTTCCATGATCGGTCGAGATTCTTGCCGCGTGTTGTTGATGGAGACGACTCAGGTGAATCGCTCCGCCCGAACGGCTTCATGATGCCAGACAGAATATGACGAGTAGCCCTGCCATTCCGCTTGAGCGTAGCCAAATGCGAAGACGCGTGCTCTGAATGTCCAGCCGCTTGCCGCAGGGAGCTGAAATCTCGGCCACGACGGTGCTCACGACTTCTTCGCGTAGGAACATCGATCAATACGTCGCTGCCAGCCGAACCAGGTGGTTGGTAATTGTCTTGGTCAAGCCAAACTGTAGACGTATTCGCTGAGGTCGGTGCTGAGTGATTGTTGTGATGCGTGGAAAGGCTCATGGAATCCAAGATGGCAGAGTTATGATCCATAGCGTCGGCGAAGTCGGAGGCAGGAAGGGATGCAGTCTCGTGAGACGAGCCATCCAACTTCGAGTAGCATAGGTCGGCGCGCTCCTGTAACACCAGACACATTTCATTGAAGATGAGAATGTCGTCTTCGCCGCCTACAGGTTTGACTACCTCCCCATTTCCGATAGGGTTGGTCTCAGTCCACATCTTAACTAGCGCTGCGAAATTGCGAGCGTGATCAATCAAGTGAGGCAGTGCAGGGAACCCTTCTCGTGCCGTTGGTGATAGTCGTCCAAGAATCGCGATAGGTGTCGAATAAGATGGACCCAGGGCGACCTTGTTGCGTTCGACGGGGATGGCGCAGATCGTGTCAATGTAGTCCTTGACCGACTGACGGTTGGAGCCCAGAAATTTGTTCATTGGCTCCATCCATTCTTCCTTCTTACCAAACGTAGACAGGTTTCCAAGGGCCTGAAGTGCCTTGGCAACCAGTGTGAGCGTTCGCTGTGCTCTGGGTCTAGGGTGATCCCTCAACAGACCAAAGAGCTTGGGGCTCAAAATCGCCGGGCAAATGAAACGGAGGAACAAGAAGCCCGACACGCTCGTGTAAGTGACGGTTCGTAGCCAGTCGCCGTAGCGATCTTCAGCCACGGCTCGTACATATTTGAGGATTGAGCGAAGTTCCGGTGGGCATTTCGTGGGCTCCTTGCAAATACATTGCCACACCTCCGTTGTCAGCTGAATCAGTCTTGTCCAGTGCTCCTGAATGTTTTCACCAGGTTTGAGCTTGCTTGGGTCGACTTCGCAGTTGGGGTTGGTCTCGTTGATCTCGAAAATCTTGGCTTGCAACATCTGCTCGAGATACTCCTTTCCTGATCTTCTCATATGGAACTCGAGCGCTTGCGTCAGCAGCGTATTGCCTCTGAACAACAAGTTGGCCTCTCCTGCAAGAGATTTACCCATGTCACGAAGAATCTGCTCTCTGTCACTGGATGACTCCATGGACTCATTCGATTTCAAGCGGCTGCTGAATCGGTACTTCTTCATCTGGTTTTGGCTGCCGCCAATACCGTCGATCTCGTCTTCGACTAGTGTTTGCAGCCATTCATTCGCATGACCAGACACTTGAAAAATGTTGAGAAAGATTTCGGAAAGCCGCCGCAAATTGCCGGGAAGCGCATCAGCAATCTGAGCGGTCAGACCGGACGGAAAGCTATGAAGCAAAGTTGACAGCGCCTGGTATTCCTTAGAATGAAGAACAACGAGCTCCTCGTGATGGAGCTTCACAAGCATTGTGCCCATGACCTGCTGTCGTTCGTCATAGATCTCAAGCCACCGCTCGAAGTCTTTGCCGGGTTCGACATGGTCCAAGGGGATGTCAACGGAGCCGCAAAGAATCTCAGTCAGATTTCCCGTCTTGGGCAGCCCAAGTGATGCCTGCAGTTGATGGCTGAAACTTTCCAGGTTCCCGTCCACTCTTTTCAGAATAATGGAAAGGAATGGCATAGTCGGCGGAAGGTCCGAAAATTGGTAATCTTCCCGCCAAAATGGATTCTTGGTTCCAGTCTTGATCGTTGATCGAGCGCGGACCTCGCCATCCAGTATGACTTCTGTCAGGTAGTTGCCCATCAAAGGGTCTGCGTCCTTGGGCTGTCGGTCGATGAAGCTAACGTCGGGAGAACAAGTCTTCGGTCTCAGTTTTGCCTCCGTCACCCGCAGACTGATCGTCTTCTCAATCCTGAATATCTCGCCGGAAAGATCTGACTCCAAATCTGTAACCTCCATCGCTCCTTCGGCTGAAGGCGAATCCAGTCGGAAAATGTCCGGCAGCGCGAATGCTCGAAGAAGAACAAACCAGACTTCGAATAACAAGCGGTTGTCCAGAGCAATGTACACAGGACGGAATATGGACAGCTGTGTAGATATCGGAGAGTAGTGTGGGAAAATGCCGATGCAGTACTCTTCGTCCAAAACTGACCGGTTCAGCTGTTGAATAGCGCATCGAGATAGTTGGGATAGTTCGACCACAGCGATGACAGCCTCGCCGTCTCTTGTGGTGAGTCGAACCTCTCCGTTTTCTTGAAGGAGGAGGGAAACAACCCGCCAAGAAGTAGTCGGCGATCTCAGATCCCTCGTAGAGGGCCTTTTCACGATGGCCCTCGGCGAATTTGCCAAGCCCTTGTCCCAAAGTCTCACTTGGCCGACCTTGATGAATGCAGTTGTAGTCTTCGCGGTTCCATTCTCAGAGCCACGCCTTCTTACTGCTGGACGCAGGGCGGTAGGCGCAGGACTTCGATTGCCGTTCGAAAGTTTTACTTTCGGAGGTCGAAGTTGTTGCCAGCAGAGCAAAGCTGCAAGCCAGAGGTCTGTTTCTTCTGCTAGAAGCGGATGAATTAGAAGATCCAACGGGGGCTGGATGGGACACGAAACGTCCAAACATCTTTTCCCATCAGGTAATATGACTGGCGCAACTCGACATCCACGGAGGTCAGAAATGAGGGGGATATGAAATGGCCCATCATGTCCTGAGTCGAACATCAAGCTTCCCTTTTCTTCGTCAACGTATGCAATACCAAGCTGCCATGGACCCCGGGGGTCGGTCTGAAATTCGATTTCACCTCTCATGCGCCCACATAGATTTTTCATCATGAGCAGAATGTTGTTCGCATTTTCCGTCGGAACGGGAATGGGTAGCGAATCAACAGAAGGCGTTGAGCTTGTTGGCGGAGAAGTTGGCCGGGAAGACTGGCGCTTGATCAGACGTTTCGTCGACAGCTTTTTCTCTTTCAGGCTGTTTGCGACACCTAAGGGAATTTCCGAGTGTCGGGCCGGGATGACCGAGGGGAATCCCAAGGACTCGATGGGAGGCGGTGGGGAGCGAGCATCGTCGTACAAGGGCTGGGATCCAGACGAAGAAAACGACCCCACACGCTGGCGGCCCTCTCGGGAGGCAGCATTCATGAACTGCTGGCGTAGTGCGCCGTCCATGGTATGTGTCCTAGGCCGAAAGCTGCTTTGTTGCCTCAGAGGCGGACTAGTTGAATTATTCTCGTAGGAGCTTCCACCATATGTGTCATTAAACACCATTCCCTGTCGTCTCGAGAAGTCTCCCGGGATAGATCTCGGGGAGGTTTGAGGGGAGTTCGACGTGATACCGCGGGGTATCTGAGGAGGGACGGTCGGATCGAATGCGGCGTTCGCGGACGGCGTCGGCGAGAGGTCCGGATGATGATACTCGGGTGTCACGGCGCGGATCGTGGGGTTCGACGGGTGGTTAGAGCGGAATGATGTGCGTAGATTGGAGTTTGAGACGCGTTCCATGCCGCGAGACGACGAGTCTGCGGACAAGTTCTGGTTCTGGGATTGCTGCCAATTGAGGCGCGGCGTAACGTTGTGAACCCCGTTGTGGTAGGTTCGTCCATCCATTCCCGGTGGTGCCATGCTCATTCCATGGTTTGTCCTCATTTGGGGTCCGCCCGCATCTGAGGTTTGGTGATTCTATGTGCGTCCCCGGAATTCGTCGTCTCTTCCAGAGCTGCACCTGAGCGTCCCACCACGTCTTGCTTTCCGTAACCTAGCCAGCACGCCTTTCTGCCTCTTCCGAAATTGAGTGATGGCCGATCAGATTCTGCTTCCGAGGATAATGTGTGTGCCACCACGCAACAACAAGCATACTAGTTGCTGAGCGGTATTCCTGCAAGTCGCAAATCGGGTCTTACAGGTGGGAGTCGAGTGCGAAGCCCGTTGAGCGGTGGTGACGCTTGATGTCGTTGGGAGGCGGA